CGCTGCTTGATAGTCGCTTGTTGAAAGTGGACAAGATTGCGCTCTCGATGCCTACTCAAGTGTTGTCAGAACTCGGCAAGTTCGAGAATGGAAGCACTCGGTGTGCATGAAGCGGCGCTTCTGGCAGGATCTCGTGGAGACTTCCTCTCATCCGGCAACTCTAACCGAATATTTATAGTTATGAAAATGTGGATGCTAGAGAAGAAGCATCAAATTCAGCGACGTCTTCTTCTTGTTGTGGTTTCACAATAATTTTGCTCGCGTTGCTCAATTGGGGCAAAGTGCGAATGCATCTCTTCCCAACGGACTTTGAGCGGTTGCGTCTCTTCGTGGAGGAGACCCTTCAAAAGGATCTTGCAACTGCCGCTCCTCTCTTTGACCCAACAATGGTCGGATTTTTTTAGTCAACGATGACATTTTGATTAGCTTTTACTCCCTCAGGTCGAAGTATTGTGCGACCATGGGATAGCAGGAACGGCTAGCGAGTTCAGTCGTGGTGAAAACAAGTGTGTTGACAATGTGTACATGGTACCCAGAACTCCAGTGCCACCAAATATTGTGCTGACATTGACGTCAGTTCCATGTGCAGGTGAGCGAGTGTGTCTCTGTCGTAAGCAACATGTACTGCTAGAGCAAGTTGTAGACGGAGTAGCAACCGCTAGCTCATTCCATTGCCCGCAACACACCACTCGTCGATGACCATTAACTGTAAATCGTCGTCAAAGAGCTGAAAGGCTCTGAATCGATCTTGTTCCCATATAGCGGCACTAGCCTCATTGTGATCCTCTGTCCGTGAAGTCGTTTGGGTAGTTTCTACTGATCAAAGTGGTACCTCGAAGCACGAGAAGAGGATGATACTATGGAAACCACCTATTCGTTAATTAACAACAATGTAAGGCACTTTGCATCGTAACCATACTAGTACCTGCATCTTCGCCGTGGTATACAGCGCATCAGTCGCGCCTACCATATCTACTATTCGCCAGCGACACCGGCATCGCGGCGCTGATACTTCTCTTCTGTTGAAGACGTTCTATTCACTGAAGTCGACGCTGATTGGGCGGGAGTGAGAACTGAGATGCTGCTTACTAAACCCAAGTCAGGAGATTATACTCGCGCTCAATATGCACCCCCATCCCGAAAGAGCATCAACTCCAATTCAGTCAGAGTAGTGCGCACTTCAGACGCGGGCCATGTCCAAGGAGGGCTTTCTGTTGCTGCACGACGAGGGCCGCCGTAGCCACATCTACTACTGCGTGCTGGGTGAGGGTAAGCTGCAGTTTTACACCAAACGCGACCGCGGCGTGATGGTCCGAGAGGTCATTCTCTCGCGCTCTAGACTCAAAGTGCGAGGCATCCCGGACGTGGACGGCCGCGGCTGTCCTTACAGCTTCTCCGTCAGGCTACAGCGGTCCAGGATCCGAGACGGCAGGGTGTTAGTCTACGGGACTCCCGTGCTGCTGGTGATGAGTGCACCCACGTGGGGAGAGCGCAAGGCCTGGGGCAACGCCATTCACGCCTGGCAGCGCAACTATTGGGGCGAACCGCAGCACAAGGCGCTGGGCCTGGCGCCCGACGAGCTCGAGGTGTTCTTCGAGACGCAATATAAGGCTCTACAAATGGTGTTGCAGACTGCGGTGCCCGAGTCGACCAAGCATGAGGGTGGAAGACCAAAGAAGCAAAGGGCCACGGCGGCGGCGGCAGCGGCTGTAGCAGTGCCCAAGGTTCTGTTTGGCAGAGCACAGGCGGTGAAGAAAGTGGGCAACAAAATGAGCAAGAAATTGAGGGAGAAAGCGGTCACTTTTTCGTTGCCGCCAATGGGGCTGAGCGTGTCCACGTCCGTGCCGACGGTGTAATTGGGGAGAGCGATCGTGTGAAAATGGTTCTGGTAGATAGGAACTAATTCGATTTTAACTTATATACATACTTTGTTGAAGTAAGATTGCGGGTACGTGTGCTAGTGGAATGCGTATCCTTATCAGACTACGCACTGCAGTGTGCACTGCGTTGTGCCAGCCGGACAAGAACGATTGAGCAATTGTAGCGATCTACGCGCCGGTCCGCGGAGGAGAAACTGCTGAAGAAGAGGAGACGGCCATTTAGATGAGGAGTTT